CTGTGTATCACACTGTATTAGAGAGATTCAGGTGACCTTCAGATGTATTATTGCCCTTTCTCAGTTTCTCAAAAAGTCAGACAGCCATATATGGGATCTCAATCTAATTAAAATGATCCTAACTACCTTAATATATTTTGTCTGCTGAGGCAACTGCTACAATGAAAGATTTGATGGTCTCCATAAGGTGAAGACTCAATCTGATTTAAAACTGTTTTCTCCTTTGCTAGAGAGAAGGCATCATTTTTTGAAAATATTCCCTGTTGTACAAAGAAGTAATAAAACATGAGTTAAAAAGATGATTCTGGGGAGGGATTTAATAGTAAATAGTTAAAGAAAAAAAACATTTTTCACCTTAGTGTTCTAATGCAAAGGAAAGAAAGAAACATTAGATGACAGGAAAAAAGTTTCACTTCAATATGCTGTCAATAATGTAGATATTCCATTATCTTCAACATGAGCTGCATAAAGTAAAGCTCTCTGCCAAAAATGAAGATGAGGAAGAAGATAGCATGGTAGGATGCCAGCCAAACAAATGAAAATACAGTTGCAATAGCACATGTTTTACTATTTGAAGATACCCTTCTACAACCACTTTTTAGGCACTTTTTCTGTTTGAAAAATAAGCACTTATGTAGACATTGCACACTTATGAGCTAGCCAATATGCAATGAGCTTGCACAGTGAGGGTGCGCAGCACAGTAGGACTAAAATTACTTTTTTCAACTCATTGTTTTCCCCCTATTGCATACATTTAACAAGGTATTAATTGCAGAGATAGTTTTTACTGAGCATAAATACAAAATTTGGAGTTTGATCAAACCCTTTTCACTATTGTATCATCGTATTGCGCCTTATCAGTATCAGTGGAAAACAAATACTGCAAAGACATGATGCTTCTTTACAAAGAAATGGCAAATGGGAAGTATTAAGGATTTGAAGAAAAATAGGAAGACAAGCTCTGAAAAGCAAAATGCACACTGGTAACATCTCTGTCTTGAACTGTGAATGTAAACTTGATTTAGGCAGGTTTTCCACATGGCTGGGAAATCTTTTGGGACTAATTTGCAAGATATGATGCGACAAGATTCTGCTAGGGCCTTCCACATAGAATTCAGGAAAGAAAAATAGGGCACAGTGTCTTCATTAAGGGGTTTTTGGATTTCTTCTTCTAACATCTTGTCATCACAGTATACTCTTGCTGGAACTATGGTATCTGTTTCAGCCTGACAATATCAAGAGAACATCAAACGCAAATATTTCTTCAAGCATCAGAAGAAAGTACCTCTTCATCCCACAGGACCTTATTAGCTGAAGAAAGGTTTGGGTACCAAAGCTAAAATCAAAGATTATCACAAAACAATATTTAATATGTCTAAATTCACATATCTTTTAAGATATTTTCATACTCTTATTAGTTACAATTCATATTCTTTTGAGGTTATTCTAAATATAACTCACTTCTTTTCAGTGCCCGGTGCCAGCCTCTTGAAGTTGATAGATTAAGGCTTTCATTGATTTCACTGAGCTTCAGAATCAATATACAAGATATATCTTTGTACATTCTCTTCAAACAAAACATTTGAAGTCCAAAGAAACAAAAAGGAGTCTGAAATAGTTAAACCATCCTGAAAACTTACTTGAGAACAGTGTGAGAATACGACAAAATTGTACAAGGCTAACTTAAACACTAATTATTACTTTATTTAATTTCTAGCTCCATATTATGTTTTTATAAACCTAGCTTTCTTACAAATTGAAATGAAATTGTTTCTGTTTTTCATCTTACCTGAATTCTGTTCAGCCAAAGGCTATGAACCCAAATACAAAACAGCATAATTTGTATCATGCTTCTGAATCTGGCATTTAAAAAATGGGTCCATAATAATAAGGTGCTATGTTGCCTCTTTCTGTGAATGTGAGATTGATGGATTAGTTATTAACTTTCCTTAAAAGCCACCTTGAGGTCTGACAGAATCTGTATCCATGCTATACTAAAAGATTACACCTTGGAGCATCACAAAGGCAAAAACAAGCAACTGTGGAAAAGAAGATAACAAAATCTAATGCCATTGCTCTCATTATTCAAACACTATTCAAAAATAATTTTGGGAAGTTCTGCTTACATTATCAGTTTCATATTTTCCTTTGAAAGTATTCACTTTCACAAGTTTTTGCTTGTGGAAGACTAGTATCTTGGGAATAAAAAAAGTGCTTGAACATCCTTATCCCAGGCGAGGGCCTAAATGTTGAGAACTACGTTTCCTGTGCATATGGAGTTGGAAAAAAAAATGACTTGTTTTGTGAGAGCTGTACAGGCATTATCCTCAACAATCTTCCAGCAAAGGTTATTGAATAGGTACCCATCTGATTGGATATATTCTGCATATGGGAAACTTATTTTCTCCTCCTATTTCTTTCCAAGGGTTTTATTGCCTTCTTTATTTTTTATTTTTTTATGTTTAACTCAGGAAAGGTGTAATCTTTTAGGCTAGGTTTCCACGCTGTTCCCGCCGGGCTACCAGTTACCAGCATACTGACTCAGTTTTTCCACAGGCAATGCTTCAAGCTAAATTTACTGCACAGGAAGCCAGAGATCTGTCAGAAGTGATATGCATAAATTAACTTCAGGTATTGCAGAAAAACTTGCAGAGCCAAAAGTAACATGTGGCTGAATCCTGGAAAGCCTCGAGAGCTAGTGTGAAATTTCCAACAGAGAAGAGTGCTTTTTAAGGCTGCCCTCACTGTATGGAAAGGTTTTTCCAGGCTTGTTATTTAAACAAACAATCAACAACATCAACAAAAGCAAGCAAGCAAAAAATAAAAGTAAAAAAAAAACAATAATATGAATCTGCTAATCAGCATTTATTGTCTAGACTGATTAAACTGTCTCCAGTAGATACACTGCTTCCTGTAAACATCATGGGTAATGCTTTACAGAGCACTTATGCACACATGCACCCATGCAGGATCTGCTGCCTGTAGTATGGGAGAGGAGCACAACTGTTCTGCTGATGGAAGACAAAGCCAGGCCATCTTCTTCTGTACAGAGTGGACCAGAATTAACCTGAACACATCTATACAGTCAGCCCAATATACCAACACACAGTTTCAGGACTAGATAGCAGCCAGGGAATGGGCATATGAGAGTTGAATTATCTTGTCAAACAATACATTATAAGTTGAGCCACTTCTTCTTGCATGCTACTTATAGGGAAGACAGGAAGGGAATACCTAAACACGAGAGGAATTTTATATAGGAAGATAGCATATTGGAAGTGAATTTTAAATATGTTTTTTTTAAAACAGACTAGCACAGTAAAATATAGTTAAAGCTTTAAATTTCATTAATTGCTAATTTTGTTCTGTATTCACAAAATAGATTTAGATTATATTTTATGAGTTGATTTCTATTATTAAAGTCTCTCCAAAAATCAGAAAATTGTAGTTGACTGTTTTACATATCAAGAAAAACCTAACATTTAGGTATACGATATAAAATTACATGCATATTTCATAATTTTTATTCCTACAGCTCAGTGGTTTTTAACAAATTAGTTTCTTAAGGATTTCTTAAGGCTTTGTAGTTTAAGGTCTCAATGTACTTGTTATCCACAGGGAATAATACCAGAGATTATTAGCACTTAAACTGATGAAGAAGATATCCCATGTTGTCTCTTTAACATCTATATAACTGCACAACCTCAACAGATTGTGTGTGAAGGACATGATAATTTAATGGAAATCCTTCCTGTACTTTTTGCAAGGTATACTATTTCTGTTTTTAAGTCATATGCTTCCATGAATACATGACAAAATGAGTAGAGTGGAAGCCTTCACAGCCTTGTAATATCAGAGAACAGCAAATCTTCAAGTCACTCACAAATCTTGTCGAGCAGAATCTTTTCTGTGTTCTCTAGTGAGACCCACAATATAAATTTTAAGGTGCTGAACCATATTTATATGCAAATGCAGACAGTAATATCTGCAATTTTGTTTTCTAGTGCACCATATTAGGCATTACGTGAGCAAATTAGGAGTACCTACTCTACAAAGTAGCTGAGGTATTTCTGCAAAGTCTTACTAGATTTACAAGCAGTCTTGTTTGGAATTTCAGTATTCTATTGAGAAGGTGTTGTAGGAAGGAGCACTAAGAGTATCTCTTTTTCATATGTATGTAATTAATTTTTTTTTAGCAGTGAAGGCTTTTTTCTTTATTGATTTTCTTTTGTTTGCTCAAGATGTCTTGACTGATTCCTACAGAATCACAGCTACTGGTAAATAGAAATGTCATGACTACAGGATGTACCACAGCAGGATTTAACGGCTTTCTTTCTTTTGTTAGCAGGATGCACCCAGCTGTCTGATCAGTATTACTATATTCTAGCTCTGGACTCTCTCCTATCCATTTTTTTGATTCATTTAGCAATACCAAAACCCAAAATAATGTTCTTGGTTTTCAGGATGAAAATCTACTTTGTGTCCTTTAAAAGACAAATGGCAGAAATATCACTATATTTTCAAAAAGTTGATCTCAGATTTTCTCTAATGACTTTTTACTGGTCCATTGAGCTCTTCTGTGCTCTCCTCCAAAGGTTTGATTTCATATGAATAAGTAATTATTTAAATAGGCAATACTGTTCCAAACCTCTGTTAAGTTGTTGCTGTCAACTGTATTAGAAGGGGCTAAGTTACTTTCGGCAAATTAGTAAGGAAGAGTATAATATTCCTGTATTAACATTTCTAAGCATATGCATAAAACAAAGGACCTCCAAAGAAATTTAAATAACTTGCTTAGAAGGAAAATCTTGGACCATCACAAATCTATAATGTTAAATTGTAACCACTGAAACCAGTAGCTGAAAATGCAGCTTAAGCAATATTATTCCCTTTTGCTAACCTGATTTTGTGTCAGGTTCTCATGAGTCACCTATATATACCTATCAATTCAATATATAACATTTCTAGAGAAATAGAAACAAAAACTAGAGTAGATTTACCAAAGACAGTCAGCTCTGCTGGATCACTGTCTCGTTCCCCCACCATGTTGGTTCCAACGCAAGTGTACATGCCAGCATCACTTTTTCGTGTATTGGAGATCATTAGCTTCCCACCACGTATCTGTTTCAAAACAAGAAATACGTTTTAAAATTCAGTTAAACAGAAGATATCAGAAAAAAGTACTCAGGCAAGCAAGCTCTACAGTTAAAGGTATCTAAATATTCCATTTGTAAATATATGTAAGGCTGCAAAATTATAATCCCATACCTTTAAATATCTTAAAGATGATCTAGAACACATTTTATCTTACTGATTGCTTTTAAATGTGTTTTTTTTTCCCTTTGATTTTCATTAGATGCTTTACTTTTATCACTGCTTGCTGCCTCTTTGCCAATGCAGCATGTTTCTATTTCTTGCATGATGATACGTAAAACACTCTTGACATCTCTGTTAAGAAAAACAGTTTCACTTAGTTTTATTTAGCCAGTTCATTTTATTGTTACTGTTGCCTGAAATTTCCTTGTTCACTGATTAATACAGATTTTCCCTTTTCCTTGATGCAAACAGATTGAATCTAGACCAAATTGAGAATTCACCTCACTCTCAAAAAGCTTAATATTTTCCTGGCTACAGAAGCAAAATATGTTTGTAGAGTGAAAGAAATAAAGTAACAAATTTGCAGGCTATGAAGTGTTAGAACATGAATGTAGTGCTTCAAAATACGCTAGAATAATAGCCAAAGAAACTTAAGAGTCAGGGAATGACACACAGTTCTCTGCCACTTTCCATTCATCTATTTTTGAGTAGATGATCTGGCCCAAAATACCACAAGTAGCAACTACTTAGATTGCTCAAATAGACATCTAAAACAGTGAATAAGTTTACTAACAGTACTTCAACAACGAATAAGATCAGCACTGGTTGAATTACAAATCACCTTATAGAACATTTAAAAAAAAAAAAAATCTATTAAATTAATATCAATAGTGAAAAAATATTTAAAAAAAAAAAAAATGGAATTACATATGTCCATGCATGCTTAATTTGTCCCACCAGTTTGCGCACAGCATGGAATAATTTCCAGTCACACGATAGGTTAAATCTCTGTGCTGGGTCCTTTTTCATTCAGTACACAAAAGGAACCATCACAAAAATACCATCACTACTCATTTACTCACTACACATTCCTATTCAGGAACAATTCAACTTCAGAACATAATTTCAGTATTTCTTCAGAATACATAGCCCAATTTCTATCCAAAATTTTAGCTTATTAATGTAATCCTCAGCTACTGGTTTTTTGTTTGTTTGTTTGTTTCCACATAGAAGATCTGTGTACCCCATTGATACGACTGGTTTTATCTTTAAGACACCTCTCTTACATAGGGTCTGATATTGTTCTCATTTTACAGAGAACTGAAGTTAAGAAAATGTACGGCCGAACTTGTCAAAGGCATCCACTAAGTTCCAAAGTGGGACAGCTCACATCTAACAGAGTACCTCACACAATCAAACTTACTGTTCTTACACGACTCAGTTATAACTATTGCACAAAACAAGCCTCAGGAAGTTCAAGCTGGATGCACGAATCAGAAGGAATAAACAGAGGAAAACTCACAAGTATATTAACAAGTCACTATGGGAATGATGAGTATGTTTAGATTTACTTTTCCCTGTCTCTGCAGTTTTGGAACCCGTGACTCTTCTGTCTGTCCTTCCACAGACTCAACACAGCAAATCCCAAAAACCTGTCCTATTCCTAGTCTGTGACTTCAAAGCCAAGCAGTTTCTGGTCTTCATTACAGCGGTATATGCGATCAGGTACAAAGAAAGACTCAAAGACAGTCTGCTGTGCTCAGCTGCTGTGCTTTTAATGCAGGCTTCGTGCCTATAAAAAACATCTGAGATGTACTCACACTGATCCGCTCTTCCCTGTCATCAATACGGACTTTATCTTTTTTCCAGTAGATGGTAGGCTCAGGGTGCCCACGAGGTGGCTGACACTCCAGTATTGCAGGTTCTCCAGCTGCCACCACAACATCCGTAGGGTTTTGGCGGAAGTCATCTCGTAGCACTAATGTAGTAAATGAGGGAGAGAAGAAAATGTTAGTTGAATTGACATCCTTGTACGAGAGGGGAAAAAAATAAAAGATCTGTAGCACCCATTAGTCTTTTCACCCTTAATATAAGGGTCATTTTCCCTTATGGGAATCAACAGTCCTTGTAAAACTAGTAGATTGATGCTTTTTTTGTTCTTAATACTTTTGCAACTTTGACTACTGTTTCAGTGTCCCACAACAGTGAAAGGAAAAAATATTTAAATTACCAAGCTGTTTGAAAATTAAATCAGGCAGTGCATGTTAGCTTCTCACATAAATCGAGCTCTTATAAAGGATTAGGTACAACTAGCTGGCTTCGGTATGTTACAATGATATCCATTTCATCATTATTCCTCCATGTGTATCCTAGTCTGTAGGTTAATCAACATTCTTATAAAACTGAAGATTTCTCAAGATGAACTACTGAAATAGAATTTAGGGCATTTCCCCTCCATGAATTTCAGCTACGTAAGGCTTTCATTACAGCTTTTAAACAGCTTTTTAAAGGGTTCTTGCCCTTAATGAAAACAGGGCCCTCTGAGAAATTAGAAAACACCGTATCTTAGTGAAGGAGCAAGTCAGGAAGAGTTCAGCAGAAATTGCTTAGTCTCATCTCATAAGCAGAGATCATTTACTGCTTTTAATATTAATGAAATGTGCCCCATTTTAACATTTGGAAGTAGATATTTTTCTGGTCTGTAATAAGCCACAAGAAAATATGATTAATACATAGAAGATCTGGTCTCTGAATGGGCTGATGTGAGTAACCTGTATAAAGGTAGCACTCAAAATGACATACGAGGTAACACACTGCTTTGCATTTTAGGATCACAGATAGATCCCAGAGGAAGGAAGGAATTAATTGGCAGCTAATTCCTTTCCTAACAGTAAGAAGGTGAATATTTACACCTTACTCTTCAAGCATAAAATAAAACTGACGCAGTTGGAAATGGATGCAACTCTGGCAAGAACTTGTTATCCTCAATAATATATGCAATAGATACATATTTTCCAACAGATAATGAAAGACTCAACTCCAAAATACTTCTGATTAATACCAAACACTCCAATACTTCTGACTTCCTATAACCAAACTGACAGAAGTAGAAATTATAGTGCCTTAAGATCAAAACCTTACAAAATGCACAACACAGTAGTATTATGCTGAAGATGGTGGGCTGCACCTCTCTCATAAAGAGCGGCTGGAGGACCTGTGCTTGTTCAGCCTGGAGAAGGCCAGGGGAGATCTTATTGCAGCTTTCCAGTAGTACAAAGGAACTCATAAACAGGAAGAAGACTGACTTTTTTTGTGTGATCTGACAGTAATAGGACAAGAGGGAATGGCTTTAAACTAAAAGAAGGGATATTTAGATTTGATATTAGGAGGAATTTTTACTCAGAGGGTGGTGAGACATGGGCACAGGCTGCCCAGAGAAGCTGTGGATGCCCCATCCCTGGAGGTGTTCATTATCAGGTTAGACAGGGCCCTAGGCAGGCTGAGCTGGTGGGTGGCAACCCGCCTATGCAGGGAGGTTGAAACTGGATGATCTGCAATGCCTATTCTAACCCAATCCATTCTATGATTCAATGATTTTGTATTACACCTTTTTTCAAACAAAGCCAAGAAAGCTGATACCTCAGGGAAAAAATGAGGGAAAAAAAAGGTCTTACAAAAGCACCTATTTTGGGAAACACTTTCATGTATCTCTGGCACTATTACACTACACAGGAAAAAAAGTTCTTCTAGGCAGTGATACGTTGTCTTTCACACAATTGGCAAATAGGAAACATGAACTTCTGCTATCATAACATGAAAAATAATATTAATTTATATTGGATTAACTTTTTATATAATTGCAGAACTCCAGTGCAAATTCATTAGTGGAAAATCCCCAGAAAATCAGCAGTTCCAACATCACAACGACTTTATCCTTCCCACTCCTAACTCTTGGCAGTAATGCCAATGAAATCATTTTCCTTGAATGCTACGTGAAGCTGAAGAACAGAGTTTCTTGGGGCGATTCACAGCAAATTACATTCACTTTCTCTGAGTCATTCCTGCAACTGTGCAAGGTTCTAATCAGCTGCAGAATATGAAGCTGAGGAGATCTGATTTTAACATGTTCCTTTACTCAAGTCCTACTGCAAATGTGACTTGATGGAAGACAAAATTGATACTAGAGTGTTTACTTAATCTTGCTGTGTCCATCAACACATATACAAATCTTAGATAGATATATCCCAATATTTCCAGCCATAGCACTCTGTGTTTTGGAGAAAAGCAAATAACATTCTGTGAGAAAAATGAAATAGGTAAAAATAAAGTTGAGATAGAAAGAGAAAGAGAGAAAAATGTGTGGAACACACAGAGAAAACAAATCAGAGAAGAAAAGGGGGAACACAGAGTTTAGAGAGAATAAAAACGAAAAGCCAGGTAGAGGAAAGAAAAGAATACCAATCCCACCCCGCCCCAAAAAAAAAAACCAACCCAAAATGATTAGAGGGCATAGGCTGCCATTTCTCTGCCTCAGTGACTTTAGCAGATAAATAATAACACCAATACAAAGCACAGACTAATCTGATCAATGCAGCTACACCAGCACATCCAAATGTTACCCCATGTGACATGCAAGGGCTCATGATGGAGATTTTGGGGTGCTGGCTTGCATGCAGCAGACCTCAGCAATACAGAAAACAACAGAAGGAGGGAGCATCAACAGGAAGCGGAGCTCACACATATTAGGATAAATGGAAAAGTTGCAGCACAGCTTAGTGCATTCACCATATCTAATAGCACAATCATCTGTGAAAACAGAAAAACGGTTGAGAGCTGCAAAATATTCCTCAGCCAATTATCCACAATTGCCATACGTTTCCAAATAACTGCTAGCATGCCCGAGCAGATTCCCTCTCCTGACACTGGCAAGAGGCTTTTGTTCCCTCTCAAAGCCAGCCCTCCTCAGAGCTTTTTAAAAATTCATTGCAAGAGGTGAAGCGTTGCCATTAGGCTCCCCCTCTTCACCTCACATACTTTCTTGCTCTAATCCAACATTAACGCTTACCCTCAGTATACATTTAATGAAGGACACCAAAGAGACAGAGAGCTGATGGCCTGGCCCCTGCTCCCCTCTACCAGCCCGGTGGCAGTGCTGATTCCCTCATGCTTAGCCACACGCAGCCTTGGAGCTGCGCAAGGCTCCCAGCTTTGCTTCTTGGGAAAGCACTGGGAGGCTACCGGGTGAGAAAGGACAGCTAGGTCGCACGTACAGCTGATGATGGTGCTGTGGACAAAAGTTAATTAAAGCTTGATAAGTCTCTTTGTAGTTCTAACAAGGCTGGTGCTGCTCAAACAAGATAGATGTCTGTGAACTGTCACATCAGCCTTCAAGGGACGCAAAAGCCTGCATGCCCACATACAGGTATTCATGAGGGCAGCAATGACATCTAGCAACAGCAGCAGCAAGATAAATGCTTCCAGGCCAGGCATCTGCCAGAGTTAGGGAAAAAGACAAAAAGAAACCCCTGCTATCATGGCAACTGCTCACCAGCACCTGCCAGCTTAGGCCCAAATCCAGGTCAAAGCCAAACCAATGCTTGTAAACTCAGGGAATTATGTGGAAACCAAATTAATTTCCTTGACTGAGGCTCTGGCAATTTGTTTCAAGGAACCAGAGATAACACAACGTTTATGGGGTGGGAGGAAAAGTGGTGGGGTCAAAATTATTCTAGGCTAGATAACCATGTCTTAATCCCGCTTTTCACCACGAAAGCTTCCAGGCCCTTCAAAAAGAAATATTTTTATAGGATTTACATTTACATGATGACTACAAATAACCATCTGTCTGCTTCTACTTTTTCAATCTGGTCCATGTCCCATGAGTCCTCAGCCCATGGCCAAAGCAGTGAAGCTGGAAGGAAGAAGCACATGCCCATCAGGAGGCTCTGGAGTAATTGCCTTCTTCTCCCACTAGCACTTGGCTCTCCTCCTCCTCCCACCGATATAGACACTGAACATCTGATACTACCAGGGAGGGGAGGGAGGTAAAGCCTCCTTTTTCCATTTTTCAATGAATTATAATGTCTTAAAACACAGCTACATCTGTCATGCTGACTAGAGGGTATAAAGAGATATCAAGTAAATATTAATGTGCTTCTGTAACTTGGGTTCTACTAGTTTATCTTGTCTCTCCATTCTGTTTGGTGCTTATCTGAGGATATTATTACACTCACACAAGGAATTTACACAGCTGCACTGGTGGTAGGTTGGTCATGCAATGTGCAGGTAGGTCTCCCTTGATCCAAGGCACGCCTATGGGCATTTAACTAAATCCTCATCTCACTGTGACTGCTTGGCACTTCTCTCATATGACACATAACGATACACACAGTCAACATGAATTATTATGTCAGATAACTACCCAGATGTCACATAGTGTACAGATTAAAGGATTAAAATATTTGAAATAATGCAATGTGCAGGGAGGTATTTCAGAGCTCGGATAATAATATTTATAATCTACTTAAATGGCCTCAGAACAAGCTGGCACTGCTTGCTGGAATTGGGGAGCAAAAAAGAAAAAGGGTTCATAAATAACTTTCCTTGTGAAAAAGAATGAGGATTAGAGGATGCTGCTGCCCTACCTTTTGCTTAAACCTCTGTCACAGTTTGATAGGGAAGTTATGAACAAAATCACAATTTAGGTTATGGTTCTAAGCAGTACTCCAAAGGAGGACTGAACTCCTTCTGCATGTACACAACCCTGGAAAAGCTATCAACCATCTTGGGAATTTTTGAAAAAGCAGTGAAGAACTACACTGGTTGTTTTTTTTTTATTTGTTTGGTTTTGTTTTTTTTTTTTCTTTTTCCTATCCTTTTCCAATCTCATGATATAGATACTGCCTAGGAGACATAAATGCCAGCTAATTTACTATGATTCAAAATATTCAGACTTTCCAAAACCTGAGAGACTCATTT